TCGTTTGAGAAACTATAGGATTTTTATTTGTAATAAATAAAAAATTGTTTGCCTGATAACGTACATATATTTTTTATTTATAGGTTTGGTTTAGGAACAATATATTCCAAACAGGAACAATATAGTCTAGCAGAATTGCATTTTCAACGTGCTTTACAAATTAATCCACAGAATTCGGCAATAATGTGCCACATCGGTGTTGTACAACATGCACTAAAAAAAACTGACCAAGCTTTAAAGACTCTCAACACTGCGATCGCAAATGACCCTGACAATACGTTATGCAAATTTCACCGTGCAAGTATCAACCTTTCAATCGGTCGGCACGCAGACGCGCTTAGAGAATTTGAAGAGTTAAAAAATATTGTACCCAAAGAGTCTCTAGTCTATTATTCGATAGGAAAAGTAAGCATTATTATGATTCTTTCTGTATATTATTTTTATATTTTGCGTCCTTTTACTGAGATTATTTTTCTCTTGCAGGTACATAAAAAGTTGGGTAATACCGATCTTGCATTAATGTACTTCAGTTGGGCATCGGATTTAGATCCAAAGGGTGTCAACAGTCAAATTAAAGAAGCTATACTAAGCCCAGGTCAAGGAGACGAAGAATCACCGGCAACTCAATCAGGTAAGTAATATAATAGTACTTGTATATAAGACAGCACGAATTTTATATAAATGAAATTTTTCTGTGAAATACTCGCTAACATTGTTTATAAAATTGTTATCGTACCATATTTACGTAAATATATACGCGCAGACGAACAGCAGATGCAGAATAATACGATGGAACAAGATATAGAAACCAATAGAGAAGGAAGTGTTGCGGGGCTCGCCGCAAATGTCTCAGTAGAAGCTCATGCCGATGACAGTGACGAGAGTTTATGAAGATATCCTATTGTGTGCAAGATTGCTATAGAATGAAGCATTATTGCGCCTCACTATTTATCTTTTGTATTGATCGAGTCGATCAATTTTTCAACTAACTTAGCTCATTGTGAATTCATACTTTCGCGTGCACTCGTCAGTTTTACCCGAGCAGCGATTTATTAGACCTTTAATGTTTAAATTTATTTCTCTTAGTCCCTTAATAGTGTTGCCTAAGTCTCTTAATGGTCTGTTTGGGAAACTAAAACAAAAATATTGTTTTTCTATTCTCTGAATCATGCAGGACGGTTTATTTTTCGTTGCATCTGTCGGAAAGAGAAGAAGGTACATCTGAGCAATTGATATCATCATTTGAATGAGAGAGAAATTCCGCAATATCTGTTTCATCGATTTGTACATTACGCGTTTCATTGTATATTTTTTTATGATTTTTTTATTTTTATATATATATATA